ACATTTGACTAATTCCATGTTATTCTCAAATATACTTGAATATTAGGACCTTGAATCAAGTTGTAAGAATTAAGAATATCAAAATCTGAAGAAATTTGGTAAACAGGAGAAGCAGGTAATTTGATTAGAAAGGCAAAAGTGAATGTGGCAGAAACATAGGGAGAAATAAATAGGTACCTATATGTACTCTTCCTGGATTGGAATTAAGTGTAGTTTCTGTATCCAAAGTGGGTAAGATAGGGTGCAAACAAAATTGTGTGTCAAAATGGAATAGCAATTATTTCCAAATGAATAGAAGCGTTTGTTGGCTCCGTCAAGTTTGCCCCCCCACATTCGAATTTTCTAAAAAAATTGCAACCACTTACTGTGCTCGAAGTGTGCTTTACTGTGCCGATGATATTTTGAATTGTGCCGTTTCGATAACAAAGTTATAGGAAAAAATAGATGAGGGGCTAACTTGACGCTCAGCCCCCCCAAAATTTTGGAAATCAGATGAAACCAAAAAGGATTCTTATCCAATTTGAAGTGTGCTGAACTGTGCCGTATCAGGTTTTTCTCAAAATTTCCATATTCGGTCATTTTCCGACAAAATCCTACTGGGGGGCTAACTTGACGCTCAGCCCCCCCAAAATTTTGGAAATCAAATTAAACAGAATTGAATTCTTATCCAATCTACAGTGTGCTGAACTGTGCTGTATCAGGTTTTTCTCAAAATTTCCATATTCGGTCATTTTCCGACAAAATCCTACTGAGGGGCTAACTTGACGCTCAGCCCCCCCCAAAATTTTGGAAATCAGATTAAACAAAATTGAATTCTTATCCAATCTGACGTGTGCTGAACTGTGCTGAATCAGGTTTTTCTCAAAATTTTCATATTCGGTTATTTTCCGACAAAATAATCATACTGGGGAGCGGGGAGCCAATTTAAAGCTCAGCCCCCAAAATTTTGAAAATTAGATTAAACAAAATTGAATTCTTATCCAATCTGAAGTGTGCTGAACTGTGCTGTATCAGGTTTTTCTGAAAATTTCCATATTCGGTAATTTTCCGACAAAATCCTACTGGGTAGGTAACTTGACGCTCAGCCCCCCAAAAAATTTCGAAAATCAGTTTGAACAAAATTGTATTCTTATCCAATCTGAAGTGTACTGAACTCTGCTGTATCAGGTTTTCTCAAAATTTACATACTTATTCGGTTATTTTCCGACAAAATCCTACAAGCTAACTTGACGTTCAGCTCTGAGAATTTACATACAACATACATATCATCCATTAGGTTTATATTAGGAAATGGCCAAACATGGAAACTTGGAATAACCTGATCAGGCACAATTCAGCTCACTTCAGATTTAATAAGAATAAGGGTCCGTTTTCCTTTGATCTGATTTCTAATTTGGCATCAACTTAGCCCCTTCTAAGTTTTTTGTCGGAAAATGAGCGAATATGGAAATTTCGAGAAAAACCTGGTACAGCACAGTTCAGGACACTTCAGATTGGATGAGAATTTAGTTTAGTGCAAACTGATTTTCGAAATTTTGTGGGGGGGGGGGGGGTGATCGTCAATTTAGCCCTCCAGTAGGATTTTGTCGGAAAATGACCGAATATGGAAATTTTCAGAAAAACCTGATACAGCACAGTTCAGCACACTTCAGATTGGATAAGAATTCAATTTTGTTTAATCTGATTTCCAAAATTTTGGGGGGGGCTGAGCGTTAAGTTAGCTCCCTAGTAGGATTTTGTCGGAAAATGACCGAATATGGAAATTTTGAGAAAAACTGATACAGCACAGTTCAGCACACTTCGAATTGGATAAGAATTCAATTTTATTCAAACTGATTTTCGAAATTTTTGGAGGGCTGAGTGTCAAGTTAGCCCCCCCAGTAGGATTTTGTCGGAAAATGACCGAATATGGAAATTTTCGGAAAAACCTGATACAGCACAGTTCGGCACACTTCAGATTAGATAAGAATTCAATTTTGTTTAATCTGATTTCCAAAATTTTGGGGTGGCTGAACGTCAAGTTAGCCCCCCAGTAGGATTTTGTCGGAAAATGACCGAATATGGAAATTTTCAGAAAAACGTGATACAGCACAGTTCAGCACACTTCCAATTGGATAAGAATCCTTTTTGGTTTTATCTGATTTCCAAAATTTTGGGGGGGGCTGAGCGTCAAGTTAGCCCCTCAGCTATTTTTTCCTATAACTTTGTTATCGAAACAGCACAGTTCAAAATATCATCGGCACAGTAGAGCACACTTCGAGCACTCAGCACAGTAAGTGGTAGCAATTTTTTCAGAAAATTCGAATGTGGGGGGGCTAACTTGACGCAGCTGCGTTTGTTGAAAAAAATATTCGTTAGAGGTATTCTGCATTCTGCAGTCGTTTCGAAGAAATCGCGATTTAGTGGCTCAAGCTTTTTGGAAACATAAGTAGGTAGGTATAGAATATCATAAAATTTTTAGGCTCTGGAACGAAAGAGCTGCACAAAAGAGCGCTACATATTATATATTTATTTCTTTCTATGTTTCTGCTACATTCACTTTTGCCTTTCTAATCAAATTACCTGCTTCTCCTGTTTACCGAATTTCTCCAGATTTTGATAGCCCTATAGAACTTGATTCAAGATCCTAATATTCGTATTTGAGAATAACATATGGTAATTAGTCAAATGTTCATTTGCATCACTATGTAGAAAACCCTGCATTGAATGACCTCTATTCGCCACTGGAGATAGAAAAGGTATAATTGAGTCACTGTAGTTTTATCTAGCTAATTACAGAGATTTGTTTTTTAATTTTTTTCTCGATAAGGGTCGGTAATTCGAGGAAACTACAGGAGAACAAAAAGTTTCTAAATAAGGTAGAAAAATCATTTAGTTCTTTAGAATCTACCAGCGGCGCACCGCAAAAAAGTTCAGGGGCAGCGAAGGGCTTATGACCCCTGAAAAAACATCACCCTGTAAATTCTAGCAAACATTTGAAATGTGCAATCATTAAGTTCCTATTGCGTCACCTATATTCTAAATTTCAGCTAAATCCCTCAAAAACTGCAGGAGCTATAAAGAAAAAACTAAAAAAATATTAAAATTTCAACACCCTGTAGATCGGTAACGAAGCGTTTGCGGACTTATGTTTATTAATAATTTAAGTCATAAAATAAACCAAAGAATCCCCCTTTCAGTTTGGACCGTGACTTATGGGACACCCTGTATATTATTTATGTGTATTTTTCCCAGAAGTTGGAAAATCTCAACACTTCTCCCTTTCCACAAATCAGGAGATAGCACTGATGTGAATATTTATAGGGGTATATCTCTACATATCGCACATTCCTAAAATTATGATGTGTATTCATGCTTAACTGCATTGCTAACGAACAGCACGGTTTCTGAAGGGGAAAATCACTACTGCTACAAGTCTGGCAGTTTTCCAACAGTTCCTAACGAAAGCTTTGGAATGCGGAAAACAGGTGGACGTGATCTTCACGGAAATTTCAAAGGCCTTTTGATAGTGTGTAGATACTGAAAAACCTCTCACATATGGGCTTTGGTGTACTTTTCTTAAAGTTTATAAAATCGCACTTAACGAAAAAATGTCAAGGAGGTGTGTGCGGACTGCGGTGCATAAATGACGTTATCCAATGGTTCCAGTTCCAATCAATCGTCTATACTCTGACCTGAAGTTTTTTGCAGTTGTGCACGAGCACTACCTTTCTCCAGCCGGATTTGGACAGGTTATTTACTTTCTTCTCTAACACAATGTTACCGTTGACCAATGTACACATGAATTTCAACAAGACCATAAATTCTATACTGCCCACATACACCATCAACAACGCTAATCTGGAAACAGTCGACACCTTCAGAGACCTTTGAAAAAGAACTGTCTTTCAACAAACAGAACATACCTATTCATAAAAAGTTCTAGACTTCTAGGTTTCATCAAACGAAACACCAGACACATATATGATACGAAGTCCATTATCTGTCTATATTCTAATCTCATTCGATCCACATTTGAAAACTGCAGCCCAATTTGGACTCCAAGTTATGTATGCCGCACTAGAAGGATAGGACTGCAAAATAAATTTTTCCTGCTCTACAAACTGAGATTCCCTTACCAGAACCTTGAGTATGAGACTAGTTTACAGCTTATTTGCGGCATACCCAGCTCATTTTTCTCAACAAAATTCTGCAGAATATTATCAACTCGACGGAACTTCTGACAGAAATTGAATTTCTGGTTCCTAGAAGATGAACCCGACACAGGCAGCTCTTTTTCCAACCTGTGCATAGAACTAACTATGGTCTGAATTGCATCATCAGGACTTTTCTCATATAGATTATAGATCTTTTCAAGACTGCTCGAATGTAATTTAAAGAAACACTGAAACATTATGTACCCATGCATAAATTGCTTATTTCAAAAGGATTAGAGCATTTTTAGACATTGTGAATGAAGAAGACTTCATTCCCCATCAGATGGAGGTCAAGTATGTGTTTCTACATTCTACATGGTTATTTGAATGAAGATGGGATTTATATCAAATTGATTGACAGATTTGTATGCATGAATCAAAAAGATTTTTCAAGCTAGAGAAGTCGTTTTAGGGACCAAGAGCTTGGAATAAAAAATTGGACAAATTTTTTGAAAGGGTGTTTTCGAGATGATAAAATGTATTTACAAAACAAGTTTGATTACAACACAAAAATCCTCTTACTGGTTTTTCTCAGATTTATTTTGGCAAGCTGTGAACTGTAAACTGAAAAATTGAAGATTATCAGTGCAGACTGCAGACTTTGACATGAAAGATATGGATATATGGACGAGTTGTCTTTTAGGTATCAAAATTCAAGGAGCATCAGAAAGTATATTTTGGATTTTGCTATTAATGCCACGGTAATGCTTATGCCTTTCATGATGGTGGGCTTCCAAATGTGAATAGTTGGAAATTTGAAGCGATACAGTATGCACAGTGCAGGTTTTAAAAAAACTAAATCATTTCATATTTTCTTGGAAAATAATTTATTATTAATCCTTTGTTAAAACTAATAAAAAACAATCTTTGCTGTGTATAAATTAAATATTGTCTGTAAAATATTCAATAAAAAATTTCATTTAATTGACCCTCGTACCTGATGCCAGTAGCTTACAATGGGCTCTCTTTGCGGCCAAACGTATTTATTTCCATATAAGGCCCAGCAACTAAAAACAATGTTAGATTAATATCAGGGCAAAACTGACACTAAACTAATTATCATCATATAATAGCTTTTTTCCAACCTAGCAGGAAACCGTAATATTACCATCAGGATTATGCACAAAATTTAAAATTTTTGTGTAGAAACCGAAATTCGTATACAGAGTGGTAACGAAACTGTTCCAAGACGGTTTTTTAACGGGTTGGAACAAACCTTATATTGGTGCTAAATTCAAAAAAAAAAAACGACATTGAAATAATTTAATATTGTAATGCTTACATTCCTGTAGCTGCACCGCCTAAATGCGCAGCGTGATCAAAAAATTTCCAACCCATAAGTACACCCGCAGCGTCTAGGCCCACAATGAATTTTATTGCCTGGAAAAAAGTTAGGAATTACAATTTTCATATACTTCTTCCAATCTGAATATGTAGGAGTTCAGATGAAATGTGAATTTTAATTAACCCCCTTATTGCTTGATATTTTTCACATGTTGGTCAGAAATAAGAGGAAACAAATACCTTACTCTATTTATCTGAACTGAAATGTTAAAGCAAAAAGCTAAATCAAGGCCTTCTTGCTGAATAAAACGGAATATTATTAAATCAATAAGTATACTAACTGTGCCAGCCGAAAAAGTGATAAATGGTAAAAGAATGATTCCTAGTTGAGTTTCTGGATATTGCATGCAGACATATGCCAGAATTGCCATTATGGAACCAGACTGAAACAAACCATTTATTATTATAATATTTGCATCGTTTTAAAAACAAGTACGTACTGCTCCTAAAGACAATCCAGGCTGTTTTCTTAAAATTTTATAGAAATAACTGGTAAAGCTAGAAATCACCCCTGCACTAAGGTATAAAGCAGTGAATTGTTCCTTTCCTAAACTGTAAACAGCGCCTAAAACATTATTCCACAATAAACAAATGAAAACTATTCCAATATTAAAAATTTACCTGTGCTAAAGCTATGTAGAACATACATATTGGCTAGCAAATGGAACCCTGAGTAATGACTAAATGAGGACAAGAGCATTGGCAGACATTGATGTGGACTAGCAGGGTTCGATGCAAAATAATTAAGCATAAACGGGTGCAATCTGGGTATTCTCCAAGCGGCAAACACCAAGATATTTAGAGCGCATATTGGCCCGAATACTTTTTGGCCTGTAGTTAGGGAATTCCACCATTTGGTAACTTCTTTTGACAATTTATTCTGAAAATAATATATTTGTAGTTTAATTGACATTAAATAAGTTCACATTTGGGTAATAGTTACTTACCGATTTATCTAAGCCATATTCAGCTTGCCTTCTAAAAAACTTTATCGGCTTCTTGAGCATATTGAGTGCGTGGGACCTCATACTTTCGTACTCCCATATAGCGCAACCAACGAATGTGGCACCTGAAAACTAAAAAACGTTAATTTAAACCGACATGCAAAGAAGCGGATTCTTTTTAAAATTTAGTATTCAGTAGGGAAATTTAGTAAGCTAAAATTGGTATGTATTTGATAGTTTAGGAGGAAGCCTTTAATTTTTAGTAATGTTAGTATTTTCATATCACTAGACTGTAGTGTGCAGGGCAGGGATCACAATAAAATGTTTTTTGGTTTAGAAAGATGTTATGTTATTGTAAATAAATATAAATGTTTCAATCGCCAGTAGCAGTTTTAGCAAGAATATTCATAATATGCTCATAGATTCATAGATAGTTTCAGGTTTTGAAATGCATTTTCATGAAATACCTAATAGCAAAGTCTGTGATAGTGTTGAGCGGAACATTCAAAATCTTATCATGAGATTTGTATGTACACTACACTACAATGACATGAATAACATTACAATGATACAAAGAAGGGGGCACAATTAACATTGGAAATAGGCACCCGTAAATTTCAACCAAATTCCAATATTTTAAAGGTATCATCATGGCAACAAAAAAAATTGAAATTTTAAAGAGGATTGTATGTCTGTGATAGCAGCTTACCAAATTACGTAGGTCCTCTTTTCTCTCAAATATTGGGAAAACGGATTTTTTTTTTCTCGAAAACCTTTGAAGGTGAAGCTAAGCTATAAAACCTTATATCATTGAAATCAGCTCCAAAAGAGCTATGCAATAAAAAAGTAGTTTTGTGTGGGGGTGTCCTATTTAAAAAAAAAACTTTGGTTAATATTCCAAAATCGGTGGCATCTTAAAAAAAAAAATGGTCATGCCACTGGATTCTACGTGAAAAACTGCCTATAGAAAGTATTTTGAAATTGGAGAAAATTTGAAAAGTGCCCTGTATTTCCTAAACGCATCAAGTTAGCAGTGATTTGTCTTCGCCATGGTTATTTTCTCAATAAAAGAGCGCTGCTGGTTTTCGATATAGCACAGCAATAACATCTAAAATGGGTCACCCTGTACACTCGAATACATTGGCGGTTTACCCCTCGAGTTTTTATCTTTTTTCTTGGGATTTTTGATAGGGTACTACTCCCAGCTTTTAGCATGGACCTGATAAAGTGTTCTAAAATAATCTCTTGGAATAGTTTTGCGAGTGCTAGTGAATCAAGAGTAGAAAATAAGAGTATGAATATTTCACTTTGACATACTGAATTTGAGGTTTTTTCTTGTTGTGTCCTTTAGTCTTTCAAACCTATGTTAAGAAATGTCGTTTAGCTTTAAGAATCCTAGTCTTGTGTTAAATAAGTATGTTTTATTATTCCTTTTTCTCGTGACTTTAGTATCAAGCGTTTAACAGGAACTTTTGTGCAGTGGTGGATATGGTTATAGAGAATCATGAAGCACCCATGTGACATGTGAATGTGTGGTGATTTTAACATGCCCTATTGTGAATGGCTAACCAAGGAATACTGCTCAGTTTCAGTCTTTGATGAGAGAGAGAGAGAGAGAGAGAGGGGTTAGCTTAGTGATGTTGTCACCTAGACGGGGGACTCATGTGCTTTCCATAATTTGTTTTAAGTGAATGGTATCTTTAACAACAAGGGTAAAACTTTGGATTCAATCTTGTCCATTGATAGAACTACTTTAGTATCTTTGAGTGATGAAGCACTGGTTCCAGTTAATGGCTATCATCCTCCACCAATTTTCCAGAACCTAACCTCACTTTGAATGTTTGTTTACTTTTTTCTCAAATTAAAAATTTTCCTTTTTTAATGTTATTTTAGTTGAAAAATTACAACGAGTGATTATTGTGGTCCCTTCAGTCGGTCGTAAACTGAGTGTTGTGTAAAATTGCCATTATTTTTTTGTTTTTATTGAAGAATCACAAGATAACCACAAAATGGCTGGTTCATGTAACGAATGCTCCATAAAGTGCATTTTTAAGGAACCTAAGACCACTGGAGAAGTTTTTGGCTACCCATGTGATTTTTGCAAAAAGGTATTATGCAGGGGTTGTAGTGGTATTAGTTCTACTGAGATACGATATCTAATCTTGGCCACTCGCATTGTTCCATACCTGTGCAAGGATTGTATACCCGGAATTAGAAAAGCATTGAGCCTTGACAGCAGAGTCCAGGCACTAGAAGATACTTTAAGTGAAGTTCAAATTGCTAACACTCAGAAAATAGATGAGTTCGATATCCAGATTAAGGCGATAACTGAGGAAGTCAAGAGTTTGAAAACTAGCTTTTTGGCCTCCCTAGAAGATATTAAAAATGACCTTACCATTATAAAAACCACTACATCTACTTCAACTAAGGAGAAAGACAGCGGAAACAGTGCATTGGTGCACGGTAATGTAATGCACGAGGTCTCTGAGAGACAAAGAAGATCTTGTAACCTGATGGCATTCAATTTGCCTCAAATCAATGAGGCTGAAGATATCTCTAAGACAAAGGATATGCTTCAAGGCCTCACAGGCTCTACTTTAAATATCGTTAGCTCAACTAGAATTGGAAAGCGTAATAAAAATGGACATCAAGCACTTCGTCTAACTTTAGAGTCTCCCGAAGTAGTCCGTTCGATATTAAGAAACAAGCGGAAACTGGACAGAAGCTTGAAAATATTTCTTGAGGCTGATTTGACCACAGAGCAACGAGCAGAGGTGAATGTTTTGAGGGATGAACTCAAGGAGAGACAACGAAATGGCGAAGATGATCTCATTCTGAAATATGTAAATGGAGTACCTAAATTGATAACAAAAAACTAAAAAGGCTTGCCAAAGTAAGACCGGAAAGCACCTCTTTGCTAATATATTTCCAAAATGTCAGAGGCTTACGTACAAAACTTCAACTTCTTTATGAAAATACCTCTTATTGTCAATATGATGTTTTAGTCTTTAATGAAACCTGGTTAACTGGCGATATTAATGATGCTGAACTACAAATGTTTGATTACAACATATATCGAAAGGACAGATCATCAGATACAAGTACTTTTTCTAGAGGAGGTGGGGTACTAATAGCTGTCCGTAAAACCATAACCAGCACAGTTTTATCAGCTACCATAAATATTGAGCAATTGTTTGTTAAAGTCCAGAGTGGTAACAACAATTTTATCTTTGCAACAGCCTATTTCCCACCCCGAAGTACACCTGAAAAGTATGTGGAGTTTAGTGAGAGTGTTGAGAATCTATCCGAAAAGTATCCAGAACACAAACTGTGTATCCTGGGAGATTTTAATCTTCCAAACTGTCAGTGGCATAATGATGGATTATCTTCAGTTGCTGCTCCTATGGCGGCAGTTCCACCTAACGAAGTTGAATCCGTACAAGTTCTTTCATTTTTATGTTCATACCATAACCTATATCAACTTAACTCAGTTAGAAATGTTAACAACAATTTACTTGATCTGGTTTTTATGCAGGATGGTGACACTGAGATATTTATAGCAGAAAATGCCTTACTTCCAGAGGATATTCATCATCCACCACTGTCGTTTGAGGTCGAATATGAATCAAATTGTTTCAACAACTCTGGATTGACTGGAGATGGCTATTATAGGGATTTTAAGTCGATGAATGTTCAAGAAGTATCAAGTTTCCTTTCCCTGTTTAACTGGGATGATTTATTCAAGAACAAATCTCTTGAGGATATGGTTAATATTTTTTACGACATTGTCTACCTAACTATTGATAATTTTGTTCCTTTGAGAAAGTATTCAGCAAAGAAGTTTCCTATTTGGTTTTCTCCAGAACTAAAACAAACGATAATTGAAAAAAAAAAATTGCATAAAAAATATCGTAAAAGTAGATCACTAGATGACTATAATCAGTTTTCTTTGTTACGGGCTCACTGCAAACACCTAAAAAAAGAATGTTATCGAAGTTATGTTGCTTTAACTGAATCGTCTCTTAGAGATAATGTAAAGAATTTCTGGAAATTTGTTAACAGCAGAAAAGCCAAAAATAATATACCTTCTGTAATGCGGTATGATGGTGTTACTAGTTCATCTGGAGTTGGGATTGTCAATTTGTTTGCTGAATACTTTTCAAAAACTTATAGTGATAAAGACTGTGTATTGCAGGACATTCTGCCTTCTGGGCACATCAATCTGTCGGAATATAACATACCCATCTCATCTATCTATGAAAAACTATCCAAATTGGATATTAACAAGGGACCAGGACCTGATGGCCTCCCACCATCACTTATCAAGCACTGTAGCTTCTTGTTCTCTAGACCTCTTTTCCATATCTTTAACCTCTCTTTAAAGACCGGGACATTCCCAGCCTATTGGAAAACAAGCTTTATTACTCCCATATTGAAGTCTGGAGATAGTTCACAGGTTAATAACTATCGGCCCATCAGTATATTAAGTTGTATCCCTAAAGTGTTTGAGAGTCTAGTTTGTGATTATTTGTCTGCTAGTTTAAAAGGCTGTTTCATCGATCAACAGTTTGGATTCATTTCTCATCGCTCCACAGAACTTAATCTTTTAACATTTACTGACTATCTCTTGGAATCCTTGGAGGGGGGTTATCAAGTTCATGCTGTGTACACTGATTTTGCAAAGGCGTTTGATCGGGTTAACCATAGAGTTTTGATTAATAAGTTGCAGAGTCTGGGAATTCAGGGTGTCCTTCTGGAATGGCTTTCATCTTACCTTAATGAAAGAACACAGATGGTACGTATTCAGGGATTCCAATCAATAGAAATTAAAGTACCATCGGGCGTACCCCAGGGTTCACACCTGGGCCCTCTTCTTTTTAATTTATATGTGAATGATATTGCATCCTCTTTTCTCTTTTCCTTCTTCCTAATGTTTGCAGATGACTTAAAACTATACACAAAAATCAAGAATAATGCTGATTGCCTAGAACTGCAAGCCGACTTAGATCGTCTCAGCAACTGGTGTGAAATTAATGGTATGGAACTTAATGTTCAGAAGTGCCATCTGATGGTCTTCAGTCGTAGCAGGAATCCCACAGAACAAGTCTACACTATAAATGGTTGCCCTCTGG